CTCGCAACCTCCCAGTTATGCTGAACCGTTCGGCCACGAGCGACTCATCAGCAGTGTGATTATGTCGCTCTTAAACAGGATATAGCTTTTCAGCCAACCGTGGTCGAACTGTTCATTCTTCCGCTACTAGCCGATAGTTTGCGAGTTCGAATGTCACTGGTGGTCCGTGGGATGTGTGCTGATGGCTACTCTCAATGAAGATGAAGAAGCTGTACTGCGCTTCTCGGCTCTGCACTCCGCGTACACAACGAACCCCCCACAGGATGTTGTATTCGAAAGACTCTAACCACCAATGAAGTTTAGGAACAACAGCTCAGTTAACTGCTCCAGGGTGTGAACGAAGTCTGACGAGACACGCGGACTACAACTGACCCAACTTTGTACCGGGCTTGTCTGCATACGAAACCTGGATAGAACTCAGGTTGAAACTACAAATGTTCTTTAGCCAGGATTGAAGTCAGACAGGTTTGGATGAAGACACATGATAGACAATGCATCACGTGGAGAGTGACACCTGGTCTCAGCTATATTGGTTCATGCCGTCTGTGCGGTTAGTATCCACCGCTAACCCATCAATACAACTGTATTCAATGGCTTTCTGGTCACCGTTTTAACCCTCGTTCTATATTTATTCCTTTCATATTGTGGATCTCAGTTAAGCCCTTCGCTTATCTATTACCATGAACGTTGTATTGCTGTTGAAGTGCATCTCTTAAGATATTACTGTAGTTGACTTTCGATGCCCAACGATACTGGATCCCGGAAATCATCAAGGTTATTCCTCGCTCGACCATGCACGATTTGATTTGCTACTGAGAGCAGTATCTGCAGTACCAAGCGGATGCGAATCAGCGCCATCCGTCCACATTTCTCATAGCAACGGGAGCTCGCCACATGAGATCAATGTTCAGTTCTTTGTTTCCAGCCCCCTCATCGTCCACTATGATACACTTCAAACCATTTCCTCTTTCAAACAATTTATGTTTCCGCTCGCTTACCCTTAGTCTGTGGAGTGTTCTTGATGGTATGGTCTATTTTAATCATACTCATGAGTAGTAGTGGGCTGAACAGTTGCTGGGATGCAGAGAGGAATTGCTAAGCAGCAGTTTGCTTTGTCTTTCGTTTCAATTACGCTGTAGGGATTGCGCGTATCGGTCCAATTTGTTTGCTTTTAAGTCACGTTGAATTATAACTCCTTCCTAAGCCTTTGGCGACTGAAATTAGGTTTATTTATGATCCAATTTAAGAACGAAAGCTCGTGGTAATTTTAATTTTGATGTCACTTATTCAGAAACCTCTTCATGCCATCAGCTATTCATGCAACCTGATATGCCTCAATGACGAACTGTCCAGTGACCTTCGATATCTACCTCTGTTAACAGCATCACGTGACTAGCATTTATCCAAACCCATCCCGGTTGGAACGAAACGTGTGGTGGATGATGGACTTAAAAGTGAAAAATCACTGGCGTAGCTATACCTTATCCGCTCATTTTTTTTGCCGCTATTTCTACAAACATTGCCGTGACAATGATTCCGAGTAACCCCTTGAGCATAACTCTGTTTTCTTTTTTAATTCAGGAAGCTTCAACGGAGTCTTCTCACTTAGTAAATGGAGTTGCTCGAACAACTCCTACTCCAACACCTACGGACCAACCCTCCCAGACTTCGATCAAAACTGAACCCTACGAAATTCATTCTTCTCGTTATGAGTATTCGGCTAACCAGGAGGTAGGTCTTCTGGATGACTGACAATCACAGTCCTCTGGTTGATCAGGTCGATGGCTATGGCAAGTGCGTCATGTTGCGCCATGTTGTCGAACTTTTAAACCATATTTTTCAGGACGACCTTGATCATCCCCTTATCTAGGTTCGGACAACGTACACAGCTGAGAGTGATCTCGTCTTATATTCAGCTTTGCGTGGTTCCACCCTAGCTGCAGTATACGTTAGTCTGTATATATAGTCTGTATATAGTCTGTATATATCAGCACTACAGAAAGGAATATAGGTAGCTCATGTAGCATAGATTATGTCCAGCCCAGCGAACAAACTAACGACCATAAATCGGCACTTTTACACCGCTCATATCGGTTGTGTTGTTTACAGATACTTTCATTTTACCGCCCCGCTGGACATTGATGGAGGGGTTGGAAACCGTGGTTTGGTCGCGGTTTTCACTGTTGACTGCTGGCTTTTCGACTCACCTACATATAACTGTTCAGTCTGCTATGCCCTTTCAGTCCACTGGCTTTGTGAAATCAAAGTATAATCCTGACGCTGAACCCTGCGGTCAGGTAGCGACGCCGGCCAACTGTGTCGAAAAGCTGGATACGACGGTCTTTGGTATAAAACGATCCCATGAAAGCGATGCTGAGGACATCTCACCTAAAAAGCTGGAAACAAGTAACCCAAAGTTGTGCCGAGTGGAACACTGGAAGCATGTGGATCCGTTAACAAAGGTATGCAGCTAATCCGAATGAAGCATTCACGGGAAATGAGTTCGAGTTCACACTTATCGGATGCTTTGGTACAGTTTCTTTTGTGCTGTTCACTCATCAATCCGGTTTACTCAGCATGCTGTACGTCGTTTAATGCGGCCCGTCCCAGAATCATCACCAATGCGCAAGTAAACTAATCTCATCTTGGTTAATAGTCGAACTCACTGTATCTGCTTGGAGATTTTAAGGTACGGTACAATATTTGTTCATCTGAGCTTAAGCCTATTGTTAGCAAGATCTGGGTTGCAGGCCTTACACCGCTACATCTAGTCTAGTGGGACTGATTGGTATGGTGGCGCCATCACTTAGCCTAATATTTAAGGGTCCTACTTCGTTTTCTGTTATAGTGGTCATCTATCCAGAAGCAACCTTGTATATTTTTTAGCCTCATTGCACTCTTCAAGCATATGGTTAATGGTCACCCCACCCTCACCTGTTAACTCAAACGATCCATTTTGACATGAAAACGGTGTTGATGTTCGGCTGATACTCGTTGTCTTTTAAGCACAACGTGAATCAAAATCGCGTTGTGGTAGAAGTTTTAGCCTGCAAAAATTGATTCAATTTTCTCTTGAACTCTCTAGATTCTACGCGGTTTTGAACAATTGGCGTAGCAAACCTAGGTACGATACAATATTTGTTCATCTGAGCTTAAGCCTATTGTTAGCAAGATCTGGGTTGCAGGCCTGACAGCCGCTACATCTAGTCCAGTGGAACTGATTGGTGCGGTGGCGCCATCACTTAGTCTAATATCTAAGGTTCCTACTTCGTTTTCTGTTATAGTGGTCATCTATCCAGAAGCAACCTTGTATATTTTTTAGCCTCATTGCACTCTTCAAGCATATGGTTCATGGTCACCCCACCCTCACCTGTTAACTCAAACGATCCATTTTGACATGAAAACGGTGTTGATGTTCGGCTGATACTCGTTGTCTTTTAAGCACAACGTGAATCAAAATCGCGTTGTGGTAGAGGTTTTAGCCTGCAAAAATTGATTCAATTTTCTCTTGAACTCTCTAGATTCCACGCGGTTTTGAACAATTGGCGTAGCAAACCTTAATAAACTTTCGGACACCTGCTTCCAGAGGCGTGATTTTCAGTCCCAACTTTCTTATTGCTTATTATTTTTGTCACATGCACAAAATTGTCAATTTATCTGGTGAATAATCCTCGGAATATTCCCTTTCTCATCACTCCGCAAAATTGAATTCTCGATGTGTGTTGTGATCTATGAAATAGCGGCGGGATTTTCAGATAATTTATGGGGATATGTCACCATGTGTCTACGGTCCTTTTGAGGATAAGTGAGGAAAAGGTGAGATTTCGGACACCGCTACGTGTAACCATTATTTCTAGTTTCACCAGGAACAGAAACGATGGGTTGGTCATGTCATGCGAACCGAACGGTATGTTCCATCGATACGCAAGGTGGAATGTGTATGTCCGACGGAATACATAGGCTATATCGTACCGCTTGTGGACTCGGGGTTTTTCACTCATCCTCAGCGAGCTTCTGGGTCTCTGACAACATGGACAGCGAGTGTCAAAGTTACATGAACCGGATGACCCTTGTCTAAGTTTCCGGCCCTGAACCAACTCGATTCTCGATTACTGGTCGAAGGATATTTTTTCAGCATTGTTTTAATTCTGTCAGTAATGGGTACGCCGGTAGACTTTGTCTCCCGAAGCATCCTTTAGCCTTCGTCCGCGAACTAATCTTTGATTCCATTCAATTTCTCTCATCCTGCCTGGCCAATGTTTTATCTCCTGCGTTAAATATCTTCCATGATATCTTTGTCTCTCCAAGCAGTCTTCCGTGAAAACGTCACTCGATTCTTCTCCGTCCAGTACCGAGCACAAGGCAAATAGCAAATCAGTTCGCTACTTTTGGGAGCGTCCCTCGTCGAGTACGCAGAATCTGGATACTCGGAACAAGGTTAACGCGTCACAGGAGTTGCCCACTGCAAAACTCAAAATCGAAGTTGCTCAACCGATTGCGCGCGCTCAGGAAATAATAGCGATCCCGGATAATCTCGAAAAGCGAACTCCTAGAAAAAAGGTGAAACATTTTAATGAGGCTTTCTTTTTTATTTGCTCCCCGTTCGGACTGGTGCCGCATCCGACACATATCTCTTGTACAGTTTCATCCATTTCTCCTAGATCCATTGAAGTCTTGAATAACAGTCGCATAAGATGTCATCTGTAGTCGGCTACTCGAGGTGATCTCTTCACAGAGGAACAAGTGCATTTAGTGGATTTAAGTAGTTGGGCGCAGTGCTTTTTTCTTTACACTGTCGTAGGGAGCCGGTCAAATGCATGTCGCTTTCTACATTCAGCATTGCTTTATGGTGACTGAACTACTTAGATTTACCGTTCAATCCAGTATCCAGTCAGCGAACAAGTGCAGTAAACCCACGCTTGCATAGCCTCTGTTATACACATCCGAGCATTTTACTGAGCTGATTTACTTTTCTCATCTCCTCCAGTGCATTGAAGTGTTGCTGATGATTTACTAGTGGTAATATTCACTTTGAAATCCACAACCGTGACCCCAGGAATTCACTTTGGTACAAACATACTAGGCAGGGGGCTGGCTGGTGTACTCAATCCGCCAACTCCACTATATACACAGACCTCAATACTCTCAATTCAGGGGGAGGGAATGTGTTTGAATCCGCTATTTTTCTTCTATCATGCTTTTAGGATTCTGCTTCTTTGGACCGCTCGAGCCAAGCGACCGACACAGCCAAGTTGGTGGTTGCGTCCCTATCTCGACATTTTGCCAAAGGACGCTTTCAGTCTAAGGTTAGCTTACTGTCTTCACCAGGTTATTTTCTGCCCCATCTCGTTTGTGTTGCCTCACACTTTGCTAACTCTCCAGCGCGATCAGGGAGTTTCCTACTCACGATTCGATTTTTACGGTCATTCGCACTTCACTGTTATCATCATTTATTGTCTTGAGTTCTACAGAAATTCAGTCAGACCCAATACTGTTAGTGTGTCGAAATATTGGTAGCCCAGATGAGCTTATTTGTCGTTGATCAGATGGTTGTTGTTCTGTTTGCCGAGCTTGGCAATTGATTTGCAGACGTCTCGTCTCATAAGCGCATAGTTAATGATATCTCCTCGTATGGTGGCGTCACGTTTGGAAGTCATTTGCCAAGCTCGGTGGACAGATTAACGGTCACCTGATAGTTTTCTGCTCTATAGATTGCATTTCAGCTCTAATGGATGATAGATCGTTTCACCTGAGCTCAAGCCTTTTAAGAGTTCGAGTTACAGTTTACTGATTGGAAAATCCTTGCATCGATTCCACTGTCAACTCTTGTAGGGACATAGACTGGCTGTTTTATGCTGACTGTCTGATTTCGTGGCTTTCCGCCTTCATCTATAAACCGTTGTTTCGTAGCTACTTGCCTTTCACAGACGCGAGGATTTTGTGACTCCCAGAAAACTGTTGTCTATCAGCGATCTGAAGTCGTCGTTGTTCAGAGTGTTTTATTGTTTGCTTTGACCTCATTCTGAATAAGGATTGTTCAAAATAACGACTAAACTAAGGGCTCTTTGTCAGTGGGACGACCCTTATCTTCGTATGCTTTCAGTTGTACACAGTATCAGACTTGGATTATTGAGTGATTGCGAATCTGTCAACTTTTATGACACACCCTGTGTTTTAATGATGCGGTCGGTCCCTAGTCCGTGACCTTTGGTAAATCTAGATATCTTAGTAACATGCATTGTTGGTCTCGGAGTTCCTATCGCTTTGTCAGGAGTCATCGATCCATTCATCCAACTCTTACCTCCCTGCGATTCACTCCCAGGATGTATTCAAAATTGTGGCGAAGGAATTTACACGACGGCTTCTGGCTATCGGTCGTTCGTCTGCTGTTCTCGGAGGTGAGTCCCGTTTGCGGCTTACATTCGGTTGCATTCCAACCAAGCTCTTTATGGTTTAGTTTGCTTGCTCTCGGCTTTGCACACCTGACCCATCAATCCATATTAGATGGCACATTTTTCGCAGGATGCTTTCTTAGCTTCATATTCCCAATCTCACCTCCACCTAGTTCTTGATCTTCCGGTCTTTTGTTTTGTATTGATTTTGACTTGTTATTGTACTGATGGCTAAGGATAGTCATCTGGAGCACCAGAAATCTCGACTTTTGGATACTCACAAGCAGTTTATGCTTCTGGGACTAAATTTCCCTGATCTCGAGTGAACCATTATACTTATACTTATACTTTCCGGTGGACCTCATTACGCTGTTGGTACGAATTCAGCACCCTGCGCTATTTATTTGTTACCTCCGGTTCCTCTCTCTCCGACGTTCTAGCGTCATCCAGAAAACTGGATGCGATGGTTGACCGAATAGTTCACTCTGCAACCAAAAAACCCATAGGAGATCCAGGTGACATTGACTGGAGCCATCTGGGAGAGTATCTGAATAACATATCTTCATGAACCCAATGATATGGCTTTTTTGCACGCCAGAAATTGATGTACAATTTCACTTCATACCCATGGTCTTATCTGCTGTCTTTCACTCATCCAAGATGATCGCATTTTTTCATCGAAAATTCCTCGGAAAGTTTACTTTTTACTTCATGGGTTGGTTGGGCTATAAAATGCTCTCAGCTTACTGACTGTTGATCGTGTGGCGATTGATCTGTTCGCCGAACATGGCAGTAAATTCATCTGAACAACCGATATCTAGACATATCCCCAGGACTTGTTTTTTTTCTCATCTTGTTGAGTTTTGGTCCTGGCTGCCTTTCTTAACTACAATGGACCATCATAAACTAGAGGTTCAGTCGGATTCAAAAACAAATTCACGTGCAAACGAGTGTGTCTGTCGAAAAATGGACTTCTACCATGGACCACGCCAAGACCTTGTCTCAATAGTTTTTCTTATGCGATCGATCAAATACCCGCTTTAATGTGAAAACAGTTATCCCGAGCGGAATATTTTTCTCGAGAAATGTGCCTGTTCGTACTTTGGAGTATTACCCGTTTGAGCCCTCTTAGAACAGCAGTCTCTAGTAGAAGCACTGGGTGTTATTAGGAGTAACGTGTAGCGTTGGGCGAAGGCTCATTAAATGTAGCAACAACTGCTATGCAATGGTCCCCGCTATCATCCAGTCAGTTTGCTGTCCTTCGGCATCCGCCACCTAATCTTTCTCCAAACCTTTTGGTTGTTTGGCCTCAGGTTTATTAACCTCGTAAAAAGGTAATGTTTAGCGGGAATAGGAATAACACTATTCTGAATTGTCAATGGTTTCGTATTTTCCCAATTAGACCTGTGGATTAACTAATCGAACAATACAATAAGTGCCTATTTACCTAAAGATGGAATGATATCAATTCACCCTAGTCGAATAGAATTAGCCTGGAATAAACTTTTGAAAACGAGCGATACGTCTGCTTTGTCATATTAATTAGATCAGAAAATACACTGGGAAAGAATAAAATCAATGCCCGATAGCCTATCGGACGGTATCCAAATTCAAGGTGCACCGAAGAGGTTTGCAAAGATTCACTCACGGGAAGGTTGTTTCGTTACTGATACGGAAGTTGGCTACCCTTATGGTTAGAATGTGAAGTTTTGATGGTTATTGTTGGTTATTGATTTTTCCTGAGGGCTGAAGTAAGACGCCGAGGTGGTTAACAGTTTGCTCGGTTTATTTTTAAACAGGACCATTCTAGCGACAAAATCGTCTGCATTTCAATTTCGCTCTGACAGGAGACTCACCTGGAACCCAGCGAAATCTCGTTTATTTGTGATGCTTTTAAGCAACTGAATGTGCTTCGCTAGGCCGCCACATGTTCCAATTGGTACGATGTTCGAGATATCTCCCATCGATAAATAGACGTGATGCACTACTCAAGGTCTCTGAACACTCTTTGACTTTTTCGTTCAGTCTTGTGTCGCATCCACGCACACAATGATTTCCCGCGCGTTTATCAGTAGCATTCAAGGGCGCTCACGCGGTTAATGCACATCTGTTTTCGGATCACTGCCACGGTTGCTACCAAGTCTGCGGAAACCTCCCAAGGTTTCCACTTCGCAATGACTAGTGAGGAATCTCGAAAGCCCACACCTGTGTTTGTTCTCCGGATTTGTCAGACAGTACTAGTCCCGACCGTCCGAAGAACAAGGCGGCATTTATTCACCTCATTCAGTTTATGGATTTCTCATGGGTCTCCTGTCCACACCAGGTTGAATTGCAATAAGTGGTACGTGGATCTTTCGGTTTGCATACTATGAACGAGGCAGCTGAAATACCTGCCGCGGTTATTTCGTAGACACTCAATTTCCCATTTTCCCCGTCCACTGCTATCCGAATTCGGTGCATGCATGGAACTGTTTAGACAACTCATGAACTTAACTCCTCCAGGCCTTCATTAGACATTCCTTCCTAGCTTGCTATTCCTTAGATGCTCATGCTGTTGTTTATTCACCTGAATGCTCAACATGATTTGTTCGCTTGTCGATACGCTGCTGTGTTTTTGGGATCGTATCTGCCAATAATTCGTGTGAAATCTCCATCTCCCATCGATAAAACTATCGCACTACCACTCCCTGTATTTTGCAGGTTCAAACATTACTAGACCTACAGAGGGCGAGATGGTCCAAGTGGTTAAAGCGCGAATTTACTGACCGGAAGGTCCGTGGCTCGAACCCGACCTCTGCCTCTCCATTTCCCCTGTCTAGGCCTAGGCAACCTGGCAGTATCCCAGCCCCCGTGCCTCCCTCGGGTGGCATGGCAGCTAGGCACCGAAAGGGTGCTATAGCTAAACGAGACCTATAGAATGACATTATATCCAGGTAGACACTAGGGTAATCAAATGCGATGTCTCCGACGATGTTTGTTGCTAAGCTATGTGTGACCAGAATCATTATTAGTATACTCACCCTAGACCTGCCTGTGTGAAGATTGAAGGAGCTATTTCGTGAAAGATGATGCAAAAATTGCTGGATCAGTGCAACAAGGTGCGGAGGTTTTTGTTGCTAATTTATTTATTCATATTACAGAAAACGCACAGCAGCCACACAGCAAACGACGGTCTGTTTAATTCACCTAAGTGTGTCCATTCCGATCATATGCAGATGGAGTGCGCCACGCCGTCAGGATCATTTGCGGTTGCTTCGGCTTTTGAGTCCTTTGTCTTCAATCAGTGTAGCTGAGTTGGCTGTTCAGAACACACCGTTTTGCCATGTCATTAATTGAACGAGCTCTGCACTCCACGTAGCTTAGTGAAACGAGCTTTACGACCAATAAGGTCCAACAACACATAAAGAGCGTCCTTAGTTGTCCGTGATAATTGCCTTCATATGGTGTTCTTGAAAAGGAAACATTTCATTGCAGATGTCAATGCAGTCGAAATCGGTTCCTTTATCGTAGAAGACGAATAATCTAAACGATCTACAAATGTGGCTCCGTCCAAGCTTTTCTCTCAAGGTGTCGATTTGATTGGTATGTTCCGGATCAGAACGAAAACCGGGTTATTTCTAACGATTTCCCGATGGTAGGTCAACTTGCACAGCATACTATTACAGAGCTCACTGAGAGCTGAGTATTGTGTTGCTCACGCAGTAGTTTCCCCACAATGTTCCCGCATTTTCTGGAGGATTCGAATCGCTAGGATAGCAATCCATTCTATGACATTCCTGTCTTCGTTCTGGGGATGGGAGGGATGGTTCAGTGCTTAGAGCGCAAATTTACTGACCGAAAAGTCCATGGTCCGAACCCAGTCTCTGCATCTCAACTTCTCTCTAGGCTTGGGCAACCTGACATTATCCCAGTCCACGTGGCATGCGGCTAGGCACCGAAAGGGTGTTACAGCTGAACCATTATTTATTTATTATAACCTACCCTCGTCCCGGTTCTTCATACCCGGAGAGCGAAGGATGTCATACCTAACAAACTGCTTGTTTGCGCTGAGGAAATATGAACCTGGGTCCATCTTTTGTTTCTAACTGAGAACTGGTCACCTGTGATTTGCATTGATAAAGGCCAGTTGAGCTGGTTTCTCCCGTCTCACTCAACTTCTAAGACAACTTTTTCGTAACTTGTTCAACGGTCCATTTGTTTTTTTTTGGGGTTTTCCATAGTGTCGAAATTAACACTAATATTACTGTTTTCGGGATCCTCTACCCAGATCAGCACATGCCTTGTGGTTAGACAATGGACAAGTGAGAAAAAATAATCAGCTAAGATCTGTAAGCAAAATGAAACACTTCGCCTCAACAAGTCAGACCAGGAGTTCGTAAGAATCCTCTTAGCATACTGCGGGATTCCGAAATCACATTGAGACTCTTTTTGACCGCATTCAAACCCGGTAATCGAATCGATAGTAGTGTACAACGAAGACCTTGTTTGGATGATCACTGCCATCAGACGTTTGACCAAGCTATTCAACGTATTGCCTTAGCCAATTACGGTGTCATGCATCAAACCTACTCCACTGGAAATGTGTCGAAGTTCAGTAACACGGGTGGGTTTATTGATTGTTGATCTGTTCGCCGAGCTTGGTAATTGGCTTGCAAACGTTTCGTCACCATACGAGGAGACATCATCAGTGCGCAGTGGGTGGAAGTGGCACCCAAAGTTTTCGTTCTTGCTTGATCTTATTTGGCTCTGTGACCAGCCCAATGAAGAACAACCACCCAATCGTTTTCATTTATTATTTTTCGCATGAATAGAGTTCACGTGCTGTTGTTGGAACAGTTGGAACGCATCATTTTTAACATCAAATACTTACGAGAAACAGATGGAAAGTTCCAAACAATGTTTGGGGAGGGACAACTCAGCAAAGTAAAATAGCTGTCCGGTTTCACTCGACATGGAAAGCATCCAAAAGTCGGAGAGGGAATAGGCGTGCGGTTGTTGAAAGATGCGACGGGAACAAAGTGGTTCTTCAGCTGACAGCTTCGAATTTCGCATACTCCTGGATGATGTGGACGAAGAATCTGGAACAAAGGCATCAATGTCTATACAAATTGTGCAACTTTAGGACTACACATTCCATTTTGTATTGTTATTTTTGCGCTGTCTTACAAGGCAATTCGTCTGGTGATGGATCTCTCAAACCGGGCACAGTTGCTCTCAGACTACCCATCAGGAAACTAACTGCGATATGACTTCGAATGGTAAAGGATAGTTAAGCGACATGGCGTGAATTATTCATCTAACCACATGATAGACATCCGGTGGTATGTTTCAAGACTCTGAAAAATCCAAGGTGAAATTATCTGACGGATCGTGAAGACTCGAAGCAAGTACACAAGAATTTACCCAGAGCTAATATTTTCCGTATTCGCAAAACAGCTACGTAAGGTCATCAAAAAGGTACCTGTGTATCTGGACCTAGAATCTCGTAGATAGTGGATAACCTTACAGGGATCGTTTTTTGTAAGGAAATAAGACAAACCGTTGGAAAATTCAGTAAATGCCATATGA